ACGTCTCTCGTTACATTTCTGTTAAATTCAATGCACGACCTTACACAGTCAGAAAGATGAGGAACTCGTGAATATTGTATGCATATATCTCATATATTGTCATACTACAACTAGTGGCACGTACCTACGTGACTACTACAAGTTCATACCATTTCTAAATGTTGAAGTGAACCACTCATTTTAAATCAACTGTGAAACAGTATTAATGATTTTTTAATCCTCATTTAAATTATAAATCAAGTTAAATGTCTATTTACAAAGTAATTATGCATTTTGATCTTCTGTCTGAAATGAGGAGTAGTGATGTCGGTCGAAAGTCAGAAAGAAGTTAGAACGAAGTGTCTTGTTTTTAAACCTAGCAGACGGTAAAAAGAAGCAACTGGCACCTGCTTCCTAACTTCGCCATAACATGTCTTCTGTCTGTACTGGACGTTTCTAAAACATTCCTGCTGTTTTCTTGACTTGTAACGACCCTCTGACATCACTAGAACCACCCCCTGTTGGTTGTTTCAACCAATCAGGAAGTCCTGAAGTGACCGGAAGTGAGAACTCTTTAAGAGTCCACACTTCCTGGAACTTCTCAGCAGTCTGTCAGTCAATCGGTCAAGTCTCCTGAGTCTTCAAATGGGTCTCTGATGAAGTCTAGTTTTGAACTCAGTCTTCGGAGCCTGTGATGGATTCTTCCACATCTGAGTGGAACCTCTGACGGACTCACAGCTTGCTGTGTATCCACCCGGGAGATGAGCGTGTTTGTGAACGGAGTAAGCGGCACGACTCCTGACATGTCCAGCCACCCTGACCGGAGACGCTGGAAAGGTAGCGTTGAAATCGACACCGGAGCCGATTAAGTTCAGCAAAGGTAACGACTCTTAACGTGCCAAGTGTACCAGAGGTTTTGAGCTGGTGTTGAAGGGAGCGTGCCATTCTGCGGTCCGAACAGACACCCCCTTTTTATCCATCTTTTCTCTCCATTTAAACTCCTTCATTTCCCATTTTTAAACTCTTCTATTTTGCCAGTAGTCTAGATGCCTTCTTTAAGTCCTGTTGTCTTATTAAGTAAAACGTGCCAAGTTTTATTAATCAGAACCAGATCAGCTAATCAAGTGTACAATGTTTTGATGTGAAATTTTGATTCTGTTCAATAAATGACCACATTTATTCTGATGAGTCAAAGGAAATTAATGTCTCGTCACTGATTAAACAATCCACTCACAGTTACCTCGGTCACATGGCAGTAATTTAACTCGAAAAAGAGAGAATCCGTTTATTTAAATATATTGTAGTGGAGGTGCAGCTAACCTAGCCCTTAGCACACTACACCATATCTTTTGAAATAAAACTATAGAACACAAAGTAATTTAAACAGGAATGGGTAGAAGATCAAATCAAATTCAATGTATTTCCTAAAAATTAAATGAAAAACAGGAGCAGGACAGGAGTGGGAGTGATTCTGAACAGGAGCAGGACAGGAGCAGGAGTCATGTTACCAGGAGTGAGACAGGACAGGATTAATTTTTTTTACTCTGGACCAGGATTGGGACAGGACAGGATTTTTTCTGTGGGACCAGGACAGGACAGGAGTGAAAATCCACTCCTGTGTCATCCTCTAGTCTAGACACATTGGTATTGTTCTTTAACATTTGACTCAAGTGCACCCCCTAGATTATTCAAACTGTTATATCTCAATGATATATTATCTGATCTGCACCAGATTTTTTGTGCATCATTATTGAACACTTCTAGACACATTGTTATTGTTGTTTAACTTTTGACTCCAGTGTGCCCCTAGATTATTCCAACAGTTATATCGCAGTGATATATCATCCAATCGGAACCAGATTTTTTGTGCATAATCAGAGAGCAAGTCTAGACATACTGATAATGTGGTTTAACATATGACTCAAGTGTGCCCCTATATTATTTAATCAGTTATATCTCAGCGAATTATCATCCAATCTGTACCAGATTTATTGTGCATGATCAGTTAACCATTCTACACACATTGGTTTTGCTGTTTAACATTTGACTCCAGTGCGCCCCTAGATTATTCTAACAGTTATATCTCAGTGATACATTATCTGATCTAGACCAAATTTTTATGCTTCATCAGTGAGCACTTGTAGACACACTAGTATTGCTGATTCATGACTTGACTTAAGCACAGCCCACTCAGAGAAGAAACTGATGATTACTGGTTGACTCTTCCAGCTTGGCAATGTGTAAGATATAAGACTAAAACAGTTTTCACTATCTGTTGATTACCACATGACATTTTGAAAAGTCTAAAGGAAGTCCTTTACATTCGCTACAAAACAAGAAGTGACAATAACTCCTGTCTGGAAGGTCGGATTCTAGCCAAACTTGTAAGCCTTGTAGCCAGACTCATACTGATATGGGCGGAAGGCAATTGCAAAGTTTAGGCATATGCACACCCTGGTAGAAACGTGAGGGAATGGAATGAAATCATTCACGACAGTGACTGGGAGGCGTTGCTGGAGCGCCCGCAGTCGCAGGTGATGTCGAAGGTTCGGTGAATGCGAACCCCGGTGAACGGGAGCGGGACAGATGCCAGAGCATTCGCGATGGCGATTGGGCGGAGTCGCTGGAGCTCCTGTGGTCGCCGTAAGGCCGGAGCGGCGCTTTGCTGCGAGGGCCTTCAATGCTACTTGCAGCTTTAATTATTATTATTATAAAGTGGCAGCTCACCTCTACAAACTCCTCACAAAACTTTTTACAACTACAGGATCTAAAGTTGATGACAGAACTCAGCTGAGGCTGGTTGGGAATGGAAGCCGATGTCAACCTTCTGCAGCTTCTCTTATCACAACAGAGTACCTGGACAATAATTCACACATGTTTTTGTCTTTCACTTTTATTTTTTTGATAATTCATACACAATTAACAGTTTCACACACACACACACACACACACACACGCACGCACGCACGCACGCACGCACGCACGCATGCACACACGCACACACACACACACAAAGCATGACATACAGTGATTCCAAATGGATGATGCAGTGAAGAAAAGTAACATCCTGGTCGGGGTTTTCTTCTTTCACTTTATCCTGGATTCTTTTCAGCAGCCCAACATGTTTTCCAGTTAAATCTGGTGATCTGTCCATTGTGACATTGTCAAGTTTACTCCACAGTAGCTTCATTCTCTCAACAGCAAACACCTGTTCATAAAAATCCTCTCCCCGTGTTTTTCCTTTCAGAGACTTGAGGGTCAAAAACTCCTCCATTATCTCAAAACTGTTGTTAATCCCGCAGATAAAAAATAGGGGCTGAGTGGTGTCTTTTACGTCATTACTTTTAACAAATATAACAAAGAAAAAGGACTCTAACTCTCTGGCCCCTCTGTCTTCATGTCTGGAGGACATCAAAGCCTGGATGGCTGTAAACTTCTTCAAGTTCAATGAGGGAAAGACTGAGGTGATGGTCTTTGGAAGCTCCACTGAGACTCTCAAGGTAGATGTTGGTTCCGTGGCCTAGTACATCAGGCCAACTGTTACAAACTTGGGAGTCAAAGTCAATGCTGGACTAAAATTAGAAAACCACGTCAGAGCAGTTAAAACTAGTTTTTTTCCATCTGAGGCGGCTAAAGTGAAGCCGATTCTTTCTAAGCAGCATTTTGAAACAGTAGTTCACGCCTTTGTGACCACTCGGCTGGACTACTGTAATGCACTTTATACATGAATCAGTGATTCATGTACCTGTCAGCTTCAGAGGTTACAGAACGCTGCTGCACGGCTTTTAACTGGCACATGAAAGTTTGACCACATTTATCCTGTTTTATCCTCCCTGCACTGGCTGCCCGTACATTCCAGGATTCATTTTTAAATTATTTTATTTGCTTTTAAAGCTCTTAATGGACTTGCCCCGCCCTATCTGTCCATGTTGCTACATCCATATACACCCTCTCGATCCCTCAGGTCATGTGATTAGCTGCTCCTGAGTGTGCCGAAGACAAAGCATAAGATCTGAGGAGACCGTGCTTTTGCTGTGGCAGCTCCTAAACTGTGGAACGACCTTCCCTTCAACATCAGACTCTTCCCTGTCTGTTTTTAAATCCTTCTTAAAACCATCTCTTCTCCCTGACCTTTGACACCATCTGAGATGTTGACTTTTAATCATTTTAATCATTTTTATTATCTGATTGTATGATTGTTTTATGATGTGTACTGTATGTGTACAACTTTTATTATAGGACTTATAATCATTTTACCCATTTTTATTATCTGACTGTACGATCGTTTATTATGTGTACAACACTTTGGTCCTGTGGGTGTTTAAAGTGCTCTATAAATACAGCTGGTATGCTATGGTAAAGAACTCTGCCTTTTAACTTATTTTGCTGGCAATAATTTCCTCAATCAGTTCCACAAGGTGAGTCACGGTCCTGCGTGATAAACTGATTTTTTTTCTAACTTGTCTTGGCTCTCTGGACTCAATAGATTTGCTGTCTTTACCTTTTCTTTTAAAAACTCCCCTTTGGAGAAAGGCTTGCTAGCATAGTTAGCAGTTAGCAAAGTGACGGCTGATATTGTACTCTTTGTAAACCAATACAGTTTCGGCATATATACTGCCTTTGATTGGACCTTAGTGATAAAATATGTTGTTATCCACTCCATATTAAACACTCGGTACTCAATGTCCACTTTTCTTTTCTTTGATAAGCTCATTTTAACAGAAGAGGTCGTAGGACAAAGCTAAAAAGTGAAGAAGAAGAAATTACTTATACACTTTTACTTTGCCACCGATACATGCCAGTGCCTGTAGTACACCTCTACTGAAGAAATGAGGGAACTACAGGTAAAATTACACCAGTTTTTTTCCCCTATTAAATGCATTTTTTAATATATATAATTTGGACAATTTCGCAGGCCAATTAAAAAGCCCAATATATACGGCCCGCGGGACGGGGTTTGCCCATGCCTGATTTAGACCAAGTCCAAAGTCAAAGTATTTTGCTCAGTAATAAAACTTTACCTGTGTATCCATGATTCTGGGCTCTTGGGGAACTTGGTGAGAGCCAGCTTGCCAAGGTAAAGGTCTTTCTCTGGGTTAAGAACACCAGACTGCATTAACTCTTTCCTGTAAAAATATACATATGTTAACAAATTTGTTGACTGATCAACAATAATTAAAAAAACATTTCTAAATGAATTTTAAAATGTTTTAACGTTTCATGGCATGCCTTGTTCATTTTTATATTGTGCTTATTGATTTTTTTCATTCAACATTTACTTATACAGGTTAATGCCATTGAGCCTCAGGGACTCATTTACAAGAGAGACCTGATTTTAACAGAATGATGACAATAGTAGACAACAGAAGACAATCATAAAAGAAAGCATACAAATGGAAAAGAATAAGTGAAAGAAAATGTCATTAAAAAATATAACAAAAAAAACCAACAACAACAAAAGAAACCCCAGCTAGGTTGTATGGCGATTTGGATGTTAAAAACAGGAACGTCTGCACTGGTTTTTGCCAGGAATTTAGCAGATGTTTGAAGCCACTTAAAAAGATCAAGATCAAGAGCTTCAGATCTTTTTGTAAGAGTTCAACACTTGCTCTTGACAAGGGAGGACGTCTACTCCTCTCCCTCTCTGTTTTGCTTTTGCTCTGTCCTGTTTGTGAAACTGCTTTAGAGCCTCTCTTCTATAAATTCTAAATAAATAAACGTCTTTAAAACGTCTTCAGCTGATCAAAAATGCTGTCCCTTAGTTAAGCTGCTATAGGCTTAGACTGCTGGAGGACAAACTGTCTACACTTTTCACTCTGCTACTGTCTTTACTTACTTTGCTCAACCTGTTTTGTATTTGTAATTATATTTTCTATCCTAACATGTGTTTTTTTTTTTGTCTTTCAGGTACACCTGGACCTACACCTGGACCTATATATGGACCTGGACCTGGACCTATACCTGGACCTATATCTGGACCTGGACCTATACCTGGAC